AAAGGTGTCTCCAAAGTGTGATTCATCCCAGCAGGCTCAACAGGGAATCCCTGACTCAATTTGAACACAAGGAAGAAGTGTATGGCAAGTGGAGAATCATCAAGCAAACCAGGAGGAATGAAGAAGTATAGTCTTAGCTTGCACAGATGGAATTAGAAAGGTCAAAACTCACCTGAAGTTAAAACTGGTGAAGAAAAAGGTACTTTGGCAGCAAAAGGAAGACTCGGAAAAGTGTAGGATCACTGCCAAAAGAGACCGGGAAATTTTCAGGCCCTAAGAAGACCTCTTCCCCAGGTCTGAAACAATCTATTTCAGACTGTGGTGTGAACCTTGTCAAAGGCTGACCGTGCTGGGTACTTTTAAATCCAGGTGCATTCTACCCACTGGATTACTTCCATCTGCATGTTCATTGACAGCTTCAGGGAAATCCAGGCAGCACAAAGAAGTAGGATTTCCCTTTACAGGTGCTGAGCAACTCTAACAGATTTTGTCTGTCCTTGTGCCAAGAGCTCTTGCTTTCAAAACAGCCTCTATAACCTTATCGAGGTAAGAGATGACTGTATTTTTCATATCCCATCCAGAGCCTTATTTGTAAACAGAAATTATACAGACAGATTACCAATCCTCCAGTGCATGGTCATTAAGCAAATACTTGGATGGCAGTTCTGCAGTTTCCTTCGGGACTTTTGTGTGACACCATGTAATTCAAGTGGCTTACTGATATCTTATTTGCCCCAGTCCATTCCCAGCTGCTGGAATGTTCACTAAGGTCTTGAACATCCTCTGCAAGATTATCTTGATATTACTGCTTTTTTTGGATCTCAATTTTTAAATAGATATTTGACCTAAAAGGCTTTCCTCTTATTCTGGTTTTCCATTTCATTTATGCTGATCTTTTCTGTGTGAATTGCTCTAAATTTTCCTAATGAATCAGGGACTTTTTTTAGACAAGGATTCTTTCTGAGTTGAGGCACACACTTTACTAGAGCTTCCAAAGTAACAGATCTCTTAGGGTTTCTGGGCAGCTTGTGGGGTCCTTTCTTTCTACCCTGTACCTTTAATGTTTTGGTTTTTTTTTTTTTGCTTTTTGGTTTTTTTTTTTTTTTTTTTTTTCAAGATATATGACTCACTTTTACACAGTTCCTTTCCTTCAAATGGAGTATCTGTGTGCTGAACTTACCTGACTTGATTTTCAACTACAATGTCAAATCTAATTGCTTTGTGGACACAACTTCAGAGCAACTCATGGAGTGGTACTTCTCCAATTAGGTCCTGTTCATCAGGCATCTGCAGTCTCATTCTTTTTTTGTGGTGGATTCTTGTAATATCTATACTGACTCCAGTGACAGGGTAAACGCTTCACTCAAATAGAGACAGCATCAAAGACAGTTGCTAAAGGATCATAATCCAAAGCTGAATTTCCCTCTAAATGGCCTTCCAGGGTGAGTTGCTCTCTCTGCCCTTTGAGCTAGGTTGCTAAGAAGTGATCTCAATAAATTATTTTGAGCTTTTCCATCTCCACCTCTCAGATCCATGTGCTCTATATGAAAAATAAGATCATTCAATTAACAGTGCTTTCTGCCTATAAGAACAGGTTTGCGAATCAGTTTTTAACTGGAAGATTTTTAGAGAAAATTTGCTATGGGTGTAGGTAATTGACTTGCAGTCTATCCCCGATTTGTCCACAGAAATTTACTTTTATAAGAAAAAAGAAAGGAAACTGGGTTTCATGAATTAAGAAAACAAACACAGAAAAAAATAAAGATTGCTCTTTTTTTTAAAAATACTTTTAATCATCATTGAAATTCTTAGATTTTTCTCCAACATCACCTTTGCAGGAAGAAAAAGTTTCAGAGAAATTAAGTCAGATTGCAATTGAGAGACTGGATACACAAACAAATTAGAAGCTCATAGTGAAAGTTAATGAGCACCTTTTACTCACAGGCCTGGGTTTCAAGTGTCTGTGACTGAAGGTAAAAATCAAGCTTCCTTTCTCTCTAAAAATACTCATCTAAGTTTAAACTAGCTGTCTGCAGTCCATAATTTTATAAGTGCTCTCTCATTCCCAACTTGCATCCTTTGGCTGTAACAATCATGGAAAGGTGCCAATCCACAGCAAAAGTACATTGAGAAAAGAGATGATTTTTCAGCTGCTTCCATGGTGGAGAACTGACCTCAAGAAACTCTGGCCCCCAAAAGGATGAGGAGGATCACAGGGCTAGCAAGCAGAACTTAAGTGATCCTTTTAATCTGATTCCTGGAAAACTGATGGATGATTACCCAGCCTGACATGCTGGAAATATCCCTGGAAACACTCTCAGTGTCCTATCTCAGAAGACTTCAGAAAAGCAAAGCATCTCCCAGATCTGCAACAATGCAGGTACTCTATGCACATGGTCTCAGTGATGACTTCCTGTCCCCAGCCATCGTCTTCCTTCTGTTACATCAATTCTCATGGCCGGGCTAAATCCAGACCTTTGTATCCTGGCATGTACCACCACACTTTTACAGCCCCATTTCCAAAACTATGTCCTTGTACCATTACCTTGCATCTGCAACCTACCTTACCTCCAATAATCTTGTCCTTTCATCCTTTCTTAATGAACATACAGTTCTCTTAATAAACACACATTTTTCTTGCCCAGTGGCAGTTCTATATGAAAGGCAGAACACTTCAAGTCATCGGGATTAAGAGAGGGAATATTACCACTTTAAATGAGCCATTATGGATGATGTCATGTCTTGAAAGAATCCAGTATTTATTCTAAATTCATAGAGTATAAGAAGGTGGCAATATACATCTAGTACTGCAAAACACAACACTCCTCAAAGTCAGGTTAGAAGATAACACATTCACAGGTTGGTCCTCTCCCTTTGTTTTAATGTAACTCCCCCATTTCACAGTTCATAATTTTTCAAGGCACTGGTCACTTTGAGTAACTGACACATCTTATGGCACTGAATCAGTGCCCTGATTGTTCTTTCAGTTATTCAAGAAATTTTTACTCATGAGAGTTTTAAATTCAGCTAAAATGGTGAGATTCGGGTAACTTAATTTCTAATGGTATCTTCAGCTCACCCTGAATTATAGGGGATGTTCAGCTTGTGAACTAAGTCACTTAATTCTAGGCTGGCAAGGTTTTGGTACTGGGGGGGCTACAGGGGTGGCTTCTGTGAGATGATGCCAGAAGCTGACCTCATGTCAGACACAGGCAGTGTCAGCTGGCTCCAAGATGGTCCTGCAGCTGGCCAAAGCTGGGCTAATCAGCAGCACTGGTATCACCTGTGTAATAACATAATTAAGAAATGTTAAAAAAAAAAAAAAAAAAGTGCTGAGCAACAGCAGCTGGGAATGTGAGAAAAATATCAGAAACAATGCTGACGACACCAAGGTCAGTGGAGAAGGAGGGGGAGAAGGTGCTCCAGGTGCCAGAGCAGGTTCTACTGCAGCCCATAGTGAAGACCATGGTGAAGCCTGGTGTCCCCCCTGCAGCCCATGGAGGTCCATGGTGAAGCAGGTGGATGCACCTGAAAGAGGCCGTGACCTCATGGAGAGCCTCTGCCAGAGCAGGCTCCTGACAGGACCTGTGGCCCTGTGGAGAGGGACCCACATTGGAGCAAGTCTTCTGGCAGGACCTGTGGCCCCACGGGAGACAGGCGCTGGAGCAGTCTATTCTGAAGGACTGCACCCTGTGGAAAGGACCCATTCTGGAGCAGTTCGCAAAGAACTGCAGCCCGTGGGAAGGACCCACAATGGAGAAGTCTATGAAGAACTGTCTTCCATGGAAGAGACCCCATGCTGGAACAGAGGAAGAGTGTGAGGAGGAAGGAGCGGCAGAGACAGTGCGTTATGAACTGATCACAACCCCCATTCCCTGTCGCCCTGCACTGCTTGAGGGTGAGGATGTAGAGAAGGCAGGAGTGAATTTGAGCCCAGGAAGAAGGGAGGGGTGGAGGGAAGGTGCTTTAAGATTTGGTTTTATTTCTCATTATCCTACTCTGATTTGACTGGCAATAAATTAAATTATTTTCCCCAAGTCAAGTCTGTTTTTCCTGTGATGGTAACTGGTGAGTGATCTCCCTGTCCTTATCTCGACCCATGAACCTTTTGTCATATTTTCTCCCCCTGTCCAGCCGAGGAGGGAGAGTGATAGAGCAGTTTGGTGGGCATCCAGTGGCCAGTCAAGGTCAGGTCCCCACACTACCTATATGTGAGCAGGAGTTTTATGCTCCAGTTATGGACAGTAGAGAACAGGATGTTGTTCACTTGCCTGAAGAGAGCTATTGCCACTTGATATGCCATGTCACATCTTCCCTTGTCTTCAACTGCTGCTTCAGGAGGGTGTGAGAATCCCACAAATCCCATGCTTTGATAGCTCTGTAGGAGCTGAAATTACATTAGGCTTCCACATTTGGGCAGCTCTTGACTCCATTCCTTAAGTCAAACTAACTTAACCAATTGCTCACATATAAGCAATTGTTCCTGAGTTTTATCACATCCAGTATGTGATTTGTGGATTTCATCCTTACCACTTAACATGTCTTATAAGCAGACCTCCAAAAAGACCATGTGCATTTCATAGTTCACAATTTGATTGCTATCAATAGTTCTCTGACTTTGTATAAAATTTGAAATTTGCATTGATATTCTTCTTGGTAAACTGTTCTAATGGGTTTATTAGTCAAAAATGAATACACAACAAATGCAACAAAAACAGAAATAAATCCATGTTTCTTTAGTCCAGGTAAAATGAAATAAAATTGCAATATTTGACAGTTCTGTATTTTTACAAAATTAGTTCTTAGTACGAGATGAATCCTTAAGAAGTACTTCAGAAAGTATTTATTTCTTGACCATGGTTTTAAAAGCAGATATTGCTTTTTTCCCCTTACTCTCTGATTTCATATCCTCAGTGATTCACTATATTATTACTTTATTAATCTCCTCCTGGCCATGTGGAAGGCTGTCACAGAGAGGGTAATGTGTTTTGAATGCATACAGGGCGTACACCCTACCATTTGCCATCAGAGCCTGGACTGAAGAATGGGTACAGATTCCCAGAAAACACACTTTTTTGTGGTAGAGGTAGAGACTCGAGAAGGCACTTTTCTTCAACATCAAAAAATGAAAGCATGTCAAGTTCCTGATCCAGGAAAACACCTACCACACTGCAGGGTTTGTAATATTTTACAGCCTTCCCACCAGTTAAGCTGTATTTTCCTTTAGAAAAATGTAGACTGAATAAATTCTCCTTTAGGAAGGTATTCATCATGCTGCTTCTCAGTGCATTCCTATTTCCCTCACACACTACACCCAGCTCCCACTCTGACTTGTCCCCCACCTCCACCTCCCAGTAATGTTTCTTTTCTGAAAATCCTTCAGTAGCTACCACCACCACTTTACTCAGGATCTCTTCCTGGGTGGTGGACATGACTCTGTTTTTCTCCTTAATGGTGAGTCTGGGATGTTTGCAGTTCTCATCCAGAGTGATATTAACTTGAGAAAAAGAGAAAAAGAAAGTAAAAATTACAAAGCACTAAGTTATTTCTGATTTTCAGGATAATAAACAATAACCTGAAAGTGTCCTGGTTTATACTGGCATAAAGTTAATGTTTCTTCTTAGTAACTGGAAAAATGCTGTGTTTTGGATTCAGTATGGGGTTTGGTATAAGAATGCTGATAACACACTGATGTTTTCAGTTGCTGCTGAGGTTTCAAAGACTCTCCAACTCCCCAAGTCCTGCCCATGTGCAGGTGCACAAGAAGTGGAGAGGGAGCACGGCCAGAGCACCGGACCCAAATTAGCCAATGAAATATTTCATATCATGTAATGTCATGCTCACTGTATAGAGGAGGGGTGGCCGGGAAGGGGCTCTCTCTTGCTTCCAGGATTGCGACTGCGGGATCTTGGTAGTTCAGGATCGCTAGCTGGGACCGGGTTGGGTATCAGTCAGCAGGTGGTGAGCAACTGCATTGTGCATTGCCTGTTTATACCTTCTATTATTTTATTACCATTATTAAACTGTTTTTATCTCAACCTGCGAGTCTCCCTTTGCCCTTCCAATCTCTTCCCCCATTCCCAGATGGGGGAGGGTGGGTGAATGGCTGAGTGGCATTTGGCTGCTGACCAGGTTCAAACCACAACAGAAAGGAAGTGAATAAAGGAGAGAAATGATAAAATAAAAAAACCCCAACTAAATACCTGAGAAATATAGAGTGTGTTTTTGTCAGACAAAAACTCAATAGCAGAAATATATCCAGCAGGACATGCCTGTTCTCCAGCTTCACTGTGACTTTATTAATTCATCTTTACTCTGACTGAGGGGATCCAGACTCTCTGGTCAGACCCACCTGGAAGCCTGATTATTTGAAATAAAACACACAACTGAATCTCTCAAAGCCATATAACATGTGAAAAAGGTCCTATCTGGTATAGAAATGATTCACCACAACTCATGACACCAAGAACTGTGTAGATGGGAGATGCCTAAGAAAACCTGAGTGCCTGTTTCAACCAATGTGCTGTGAGATTTCCCCAAATTCTGACAGCTTGCAAGTTTTTCATAATATGAGGGATAGACTCTGGCATGTGCATGAAACAACATGAGGTTAATGGCAGGAGAGACTTGGCTTACCTGCTTTGCTATGAGCTCTCCTGAACTCTGCAAGAAAAGAAATGAATGATTAATTAAAATTACAACAGAATGTTAATATACCTAATTTTAGTACAGTATGGGATTGGAGGGGCATAGATTTGATAAAATTCGATTTCAGTTTTCAACTCACCCAGTTCATTCTGGATTTTTTCTGAAATAGACAGAAAACTATATTATCCTCATGCATGGCAAGGCTCTTCTGTAGGGTATCTGTGCTAATAAGAGTATTTCTAATACTATGTTACTTACTTATGTATGACCTGGTCTAGGACTCAGGAAAGGATGTTAGCTTAATTTTGGAGGGCTAGAGGTGATCTAAACCCATGCTATTCACCTGGGCTCTGTGCAGAGTCAGGAGAAAGAGAATGGTGCATCAGAAAGTGTTTCTTTTCTGTTTCAACCATCTATCTGAAACTACTCTTGGATGCCTTCAACTCTCAATGAGGTGAGCCAAGAATACTGCCTTAGCCTCAATGCCCAAAATTTAGATAACTGCTTAGGTGAGCTGAATCACCTGTAGGTAGATACAGGAGCTGTGGCCATGCTTCCAGTCCCCGTCAGGTGATAAACAGAAGTTTCACATGGCCAAGAGTCAAAATGCACATAAAAGTACTTTGTTTTCTTGTTTTTAAAAATACCAGTTTGTTAGTAGGAAAGGAAATCTGTTTTCTACTCATCTATAGCAAAAGTGAAATCTATAAAGGATTGAAATGATGTCCCCTTGTTATTGAAATAGACATTCTGGAGTCCAAGACTCTATCAGAAAAACACTTTTATTTTTTAGGGGCAGCTAAGCCTCAGTGTGGAAGAGAATGCAGTTCTTCAACAGCCCTTGAATGGCAGTACAGTTCAGTTCCAAAATGATGTTTCTAATCACAAATAATTTAAATATTTTTAGGGACCAGAGTTAACTGCATATCCTTACCAATTTTGACCATCATATCCTTATTTTCTAAAAAGAAACAAAATTAAATTAAAAGTTAGCACACTTATAGCAGGCAAATTATGGTACACTCACTATGCATTTTGGAATATATAGGTTATCTGTATATATAGTATGAATTTGTTTATTAATCTGTTATATATCTGGTTTTATATATACATTATTATATATAAGATTAATCTGTTTAACTTTGTAGAATAATAGACATGCATTATACAAGTTTTCTCTGGTATTAAATAATGTGTTGCACAAATATTCCGTAACACAAGACATTGCATAATAAATAAAGGAAAATATCAGAAACAATCAGGGAGTGATCAAGAACAAATAGCTCCCAAGGATAGTTACAGTTCATAGGGCATCATAAAAGAAGGCAAGCTTGAGATTATATCTGTCTCTTGTACACAAATAAAACCCAATGTTATCCTGTTTATAGTTCTTAGCTTCACCTGGGGACACAGCTTGTCACAGTCCCTTTTTGAGAATTCTTTTATTCTCAATGTTCAACATGAATTGTGCTGTTTTTTTCCCCATTATATTATTTTTAGTGCTGTGATCAGATGTGTTAGTCATTATTTTGTTCTGAGATGCAATAAATGAAATGTTCCACTTTATTTTCTAGCAGTGGAAAAATAATTTTATCTATAAATAGAGAGATATATAAATATCTACCTATACTCTCTACGTATAGATATATAGATATCTACCTATAGATAAAAAGAGAGATACTGAGTGGACTCACACATAACACAAATTTTCAATTATCTTTTTGATTAGAATAGGGGAATTAATCTTTGCAAATGTGGAGTTCTGAGAGTATTTTCCATCTTTAGTGTTAAAAACTGTGTAAAATACCACTGTATTATTAGAACAGTCAACTGCAAAGCATCTTTCAGGGTCTGGTTAAAAGAACAGTTTGTGGTACCAAATGCAGAGTAGAAAAAAAAAAATTACCGTTCTGAAAGCTCTCCTCCTCCTTTTCTGAAAAACAAAGCAACAAACCAAAAAATAGCAGAGCATATTATATTTTTCAGAACAAAAATTCAAAAAATGTGACTGAGAATTTCAGTGTTAAAGAATGTGTTCATTTAGGGAGCTGAGGCTTGGCATTAAGTTTAGAATATAATTTTAAAACTGTTGGGTGATAAATTGTCCTCTGAAGATACCCATCCTCCTCTATTTACTGTAGAAGAACTCTAGATGATTAGCTTAGAGTAGATATGTAAAATACACTGGCTAAAACCAAGTGACATTGAAGATAATAATACCAGATATCTCATTTAATTGAAAACTCTAGCCTTAGAATAGGACATTTTCAATATGGGCCTTCTTTCATGCTACAATAACGTCTGCAAGTATACAGGATCCTTCTAACCAAAGGATACACAAAACCAATATAACAAAGAAGTCAAAATATGCTCTTACCCAGTTCCTTCTTGAGTTGATCTATCTCTGAAAGAGATTATGTTTAAATATTAGAATATAATTTATTTTTTTTTCTTTTTAAACACAAATATATTGCATTTTCTATCTGTTCTACTGTGTTCTGTATCGCAAGAACTAACATAAAATTAAATGATCTGAGCTTCATAAAAATGGCCAAATGTTCCCCAGCTATAAGGCAGACAGAGCTATAGGCTTTGTTATGCTGTTACCTTTCCTTAAGGTGGGAACAAAAAGACTGGTCAAGAAATTCACCTCAGTAAAATTAAGTGTTTGAGATGACTGAACCAAGGGGAAAAAACTGAACTAATACTTTAATGAGGGTGCGATTGGATGGCATTAGCAAAATCATCTGCACGTGGTTCTTATTACTTATATTTAAACAACTGAACCATGTCCAGATAATCTTAAACTTGTCTTTATAAAAGCTATAATTAGTGTTTCTCCATGGTACCATAAGGACTACTAAAAATTTAAAAAAATATTTATTGGGTTTGCTACATTTCTGGCACACTTTTCCTACCTAGCTCACTTGTTCTTTACAGTAAAAGCATTCTCCTTATTCTGCTTTTCTACAATGCAGTCCTAACCAGACTTTATAAAAAGATCAGAAAAATATTTTTTTATTTTTCAGACTCTAGAGCTTAATTGTTTCTCTTATTACAGACTGACATTCAACATTAACCATTGATCCCAAATTAAGAACACATTAACTTACCCAAATAAACCAATAGAACAATTTGTAAGCTCAAATACTGAGCAAAAAATATCAGCCATAGATCAAACTTCTCCATGGAATAGTCCTCTTCTTTACAGTAAGAATTGACTAACTTTAAATGGTCAATATAAAAGGTATTGCAATGATTACTTTAAATTTTATTTTACAAAAGCAAAACAGTCTCTAATATTTCCTGAGGTCAACTTTTATCTTGTCCTAAAGGGCCAGACAGATCTATAGATAGAAATCACTGAAAAAAAGCTGCTACGCTTACCTTTCTGAATTTCATTTACTGCATTTTCTGTGAACAGAGAAATATTTTTTATATCCTGAGAAAAATTCTTCAAGCACTTAACATCCTGTTTTAAAGACTATACAGAAGTGATTAAGCCGAAACAATTTGTATAGAATCACAGAATCATGGAAAAGACTTTTAAGACCATCAGGTCGAAGCATTAACCTAGCACTGCCAAGTCCACCACTAAACCATGTCTCTAAGCATCACATCTATACATCTTTTAAATACCTCCAGGGATGGTGATTCAGCCACTTCCCTGGGCAGCCTGCTCCAATGCTGGACAACACTGTCAATGAAAAATTTTTTCCTAATATCCAATCTAAACCTCCTCTGGTGCAACCTGAGGCTTCTCATCCTGTCATGTGTTACCTGGGAAAGGGGCCAACCCCCACCTTGCTACAACCTCCTTTCAGGTAGTTGTAGAAAGTGATAGGGTCTCCTGTAAGCTTCCTTTTCTCCAGGGTAAACAACCCCAGTCCCCTTGGCCAGCCCTTGTAAGACTTGGGCTCTAGACCTTTCACCAACTTTGTTGCCCTTCGGACAAACTCCACCACCCCAGTGTCTTTCTTGTAGTGAGGGGCCCAAAACCAAACACAGTATTCAAGGTGCAGCCTCACCAGTGCTGAGTACAGGAGGACAATCCCTGCCCTAGACCTACTGGCCACATTATTTCTGTTACAATCCAGGATATTATTGGCCTAAATATATTCATATATATTATTTGCCTATATGTATATATAACATTGTATATATAGTTTTAAGTATGTATGTCTGTAAATGTATATATATATACACATCAATTATTGGTTTTATTTGAATACTAGGTAACTAAACTTCAAAAGGAAATTATTTTTTTACACACTCAGTTCAAACTAGTACAGTACAGGCATCGTTCAAAATAAAAATAAAAATCTTGTTTCCTCATGTTAAACCAATTTGTTGCAACAATTGAAACAAAAATATTAGAGATCAAGCACAAAACACATTGTGACGTACAGCCTTGTTTTCTTTGATGTCTCAAAATCACAACCATTCAGGGACCAGCAGCTAAGATCAGACTCACAGAAGAGTTGAGGTTGGAAGGGACCTCTGGAGATCCATCTATTCCTGCTTACACAGGGTTGGCCAATTGTGTCCAGTTGTGTTTTTAATGTCTCCAAGGATGGAGACTCTGAAACCTCTCAAGGGCAACCTGTGCCAGTATTCAAACATCTTCACAGTAAAATGACATTTTTCTGTTCTATGATAATTTAGTGTAAACTCAGTTTTACTTCACAAATCATACTGACACCATGTGATGGGTTGCAAAATTCTGTGAAATGGATGAGAAATGTTTCAGGAATAACTGGATGATATTTTTAATACAAGTCTCCATGGGTTTGTCCCCACATCTCTTTTTTTTTTTTTTTTTTTTTTTTAATTCCAAAACATTTTTGTTTGCATGTGTCCTGGGTTAAGTGAGTGGTGGAGTTTTTTGGTGGCAGGGGAGGAGGCTATCGGGGTGGCCCCCTGTGAGAAGCTTCTCAAAGCTCCCCCAGCTCCACGTCAGCTCCACGTCAGCTCCACTTCTGTTTGGGAAATTGAGCCAATCGGCTGCGCCTCTGCGATAACGTATTTAAGAAGGGACGTGGTGACGTGCAGTCGGACTTGTGAGGAGGAGTTGCTGCAGCTGCGTGAACACCAAGGTCAGTGGAGGAGCGGAGGAAGAAAGGAGGGGGGAGGTGTGCCGGAGCAGAGACCCCCCTGTATCCTGTGGGGAGACAGCAGGGCGGCGCCCCCCTGCCACCCACGAAGATCTACGGTGGAGCAGACACTGATTTATGGCCTGTGGCTCCTGCTCAGATGATCAAGGTTCTGTGCCCAAAGAAGGCCGGGGTCTCATGGGAAAAGGTAGCCCCGCTGCTGTAATTCAGCACTGGGAGGATTGCAGCATGCAGGGGAGTCCCACGCCGGAGCAGCTCGAGAAGGGCTGCAGCCGTGGGAGGGAATCCAGTCGGAGGAAGTTAGTGACCCATGACGGAGCAGTGTGGGGAACGCTGCGGCCCATGGGAGGAATTCAAGTCAGAGAAAGTTTGTGGAGGACTGTCTCCTGTGAGAGGGGGACCACGATGGAGCAGGAGGAACAAGTTTTGGACACTCCCCTCACTGAACATGAAGGAAGTGGCAGCACTGCCTGCACCCCCCATTCCCTGCCCCTGCACCCCTGGGGGAGGAGGTAGAGATATCGGGAGCAGAGCTGAGCCCGGGAAGAAGGGAGGGGTGGGGGGAAGGTGTTCTCAAGATGTGGCAATGCTTCTCACTGTCCTACTCTGTTATGTGTTGTTAGTGTCTGTAATAAATGTATGGTTTTTTTTCTTCCCCTAGCGAGTCTGCCTTTTGCTTGTGATCATAAAAGGGGGATTTTCCCCCATCCCAGTCCTATCTTGAACCCCAAGCCTGGCTCTCTGTCCCTTCTCATTGCCAGAGGGGAAGGGAGAGAGAGCTGCTGCATTGTGGTTGGCTGCCAATCAGGCCTAAACCACGACAGCATGAAAATTTCCGAGTTTAGTTCCTGGGCAGAAGTTCACTCCCTCAATTATGGCAACGATGTATTTTCTTTCCTTTAGAGTTACTATCAGTATAAATCAGCCACTAGATAGATCTGCTTTTCTTCTGTAAGTCAGAAGTCTAAAAAAAAAAAAACAAAACCCAAACAACCCAAAACGACCTCATCCTGAGGATAAAACTGTAAAACTGTTCAGAAAATGATATAAATATTCAGAAAAACAAACAGGTTTTCATTTTAAAAATTACAGTAACTTCTTAGCATGTGGTATTTTTCAAGCAGAATATGTTGGATTCTCCAGAAGTTTACACAGGCTGTCTTTAGCTCAGGAAGCTTATTACTTTTTAATTGTTTCTGTAGTCACTAGAGAATAAAAAAACTCCATCTACAATTCAGAATAAACTGAGTTCCTCCTCTGAATTGCATCCTGAATTCCTTCAGTGTTGGTGAGAGATGAAAATAAAGGCTATCTAAAAGAAGCTATATAGTTTTCTCTTTTTCCTAAGATTTTTTTTTTTTTTAATAAAAAATAAAACAAATTTTAAAAATCTGGAAAAAATATTTTATAAGTCCTTCCAGTTTTCACATGAAACAAAATTTTATATTGAGCATTTTGCATATACTGAAAGGTAGAGTCAGTCTTGGCAGGTATAAACCGGTCTGTGGACATGCCTTTCAGACAGGCACGCAGCCACTTCTATGCGCTGCTCAATCATGTCCACATGGCAGCTTTAACCACACTCCAACATCATTTTTGAGGTGTCCAAGGAGCCTTTCTATCATGTTTTCACATAAGGGCACTAGATAATGCTCAGCTTCTTTAAGGAGACTGAACATGACAACTTGGAGAACTGTCAAAAGGTCATTTTTTCTGGAAATGGTAAATTTTTGTATAGACAGTGGGTCAGGGGAAAGAAAACCTGTCAAGGTTTTTGCACAGTAGGTGACCCATACCAAAAGCTTTTTACCACTTCTTTCAACACTTGCAGGCATAAAAGCCTCAGCTAAGTGGGACACAAGAATTTCTTCATTTCTCATCAGGAACAGGAATCAGTAGTGGGACAATCTTTCTGTGCTGGTTGTACATAAGGTGACTTACTCCCCAAAGACACCTCAGCTGGAGCCTACAGGTAGATGGGGACAACCAAAGTCCCAATCATTTGAAGTGTCTGTCTTAAGACAACCTTAGGAATACAACTAATTAACCCCATGGTTTATACCACTGGCCAGAAATTCTACTGTTGCACATATCTTTCAAGATGTTCATGATGAAATATAGTATTAATATGACTTTAAAATATGGGATTAATATGACTTACTTTCACGAGTAATTGTCTTCTTGTTCTCTGAGAGAGAGAGAGAGAAGAGAAAGGCAGGGAGAAGGAAAATGTTATCTTACTTTCTTCTTGCTTGTAGGTTTTCAAATGAAACTTTCCATATTTCATGGTGGTCATGTTTGGTAAGGAAGAAACTTATTTTCAAAATATCTTGGTTTGCATATACTTACATCTTCCATTAAAATAATGAGAAATCATTTAGAATTTAATGAATAAAACTAATGATGATAAGAGCAGAAAAAATGCAAACTTGCCAGGCTGTCATGGCAACAGATTTGTGTTGTAGAACTGTCTTAATTAGAACATAGTTTATACAACAATAAAATAACTCATGACTTGCAAATAAATTAAGCCAGTGGATATATTTTGGCACACTAACATTTCAGTTATTCACAAGAATTGCTTTATTTCAATAATGAGATTAAGTTGCAACAATGATTTCACTATAGTAGTATGTCAACTCAGAGTGGCAAATGTGATTGTAAGGGTTTATCCTCCAAGATGTTGGAGTAGTTAGGAGATGATGGAAAATGAATATGCAAGGAAACCAAAAATACAGTAAAAAGCCATGGCTGAAGAATCACAATGGTGATTGTTCATACTCTTGTGTCCTCCTCCCCATATAATTCTGAACATGGTAATGTTGTCTTTTAACTGGATTGTAATTGTATTCATCACTTTAGCATTAACAATGGAACTTACTTCTGAGTTTATAAATTGCAGAGATAACCAGGAATATGCTCAAGATCAGGATCACGACAAAAGCTGTCAGCCAAGGGGAGGTGGCAGGAAAGAAGACATCTGAAAATTATTTCAGATGATCAGTTATAACTTTCCTTGAACTATCAACCTTATACTTTCATTATGTCCCTAAAGTGAAACAAAACAAATTTGGATCTAAATTTCATTTCTAGACACCTGTAGGAGCAGTTCACTGGGACTTTTACATCCCTACTTTACAAAGTACCATCAGTGATTTGTGTAAAACACTGCACTAGATGTTATAACAATAGAAACAGAAGCAGAAGAAAACAAGAGAGAAAGATGGAACAGCATCCCCCATCCTTGCAAGTGAGAACAGGCAGCACCTAATAATAACAAGATTTCATTTCCCCCAGATGACATCACATCCATGGAAGGGTGGTTTATTATTAATATTTTGACAACGTTTGGGAATTGCCCATGGAATCTAATGGTGGTTCAGTGCAAAGATCAAAAACATCACAGAATAAAACTTCCGTGAAAACTGATTGTTCTATTCCATGAGAAATTTGAGTTCCTGGAGCCATCTGCCTTGCATGCACCAGCTCACTATTTTTCCTCCCAGGACACAAGGACACAAGCTCATACTCACCTGCAATGACAACTGAAGATTCTGTTGATGTTTTCAGTAGTTTATCAATTATTTTGCAGGACACAGAGTTTCCAGATCCTGGTTTTAGAATGATGGAGCTGCTGGCATCAACAGTGTTGGTGCCAGTGGTGAGAGGAGTCCCAGTGACATTGTCTCCTCTACCATCTGTCCACAACACCTGGACTTCAGCAAACAACCTCTCAGAGAAACATTTGAGTCGAATACCATCATCCTCATAACCATCCAAGACAAGCAATGGATCATGGCCACCACCTACAGAAGCAATCGACAAACGGGTGAGCAGTGCTCAGCAATCACAGTGGTTTTAAAGGCTAAGGGGGAAGAAGTCTGTGACAATTTTTGCATCTATGATGCCCGCTTTCCCCACTGAAGTTGAAGCCCTTATCTTATGACATTAGTACATCCTCCCACAGCTCTGATCAGTAGCAGCAGCTGCAAATTTGAGGATAAAGAAAAGCACAGACGCATTTGAAACACAAGTTGTTAAAAGCCATCCCCATTTCAAATTATGGGCATCCAACATATTATGCAAGTCAAAATTACCTTACCATTTCCCTTCGTACTGTTGACAACATTACGTTATCTGTGGATGTTCATCTCATCAAATTTTATCCATCTAAAAGTTATGTATATCTCACTGAGACAATCATCTTGTGGAGAAACTGCATTCCCTACAGAGCGATCCATTCCCTGGGAAGATGGGAATCTGAGTTAAATGAGCCTCGTTATGCTCTGAGAGGGCCCATCGTCTACTGTCTGTACAAATACCTTGGACAAACAGCTCTCAGATGCTCAATTTTAATGCCTACCATTAAGCACACCGAATTCCAGAACATAAAACTATGTTCATATAAAATCCAAAGAAATCATCTAAATCTTGACCTCCTTCAGTGGAGAAGAAAGTCACAGGGACATCAGTTCAAATCTATTCATAGTCTTTGAGATGGATTTAGTACAGAGCAACATTAATACATTATAGAGCAAAATTACCTGCTATGAGATGGTGTGTAGATAGCAATACCAAGATGAAGGTGACTGCTGTCAGCTGAACCCAGAGCCCCATACCTATGTGGAAGACAGAAGTCTGTGTTTGAACGCAAAATAAATGACATGGGGTCCTGTACAGTTGAGATACATCATATCCAGGTTCACTTCAGTGTCTTGTTGCCTGGTCATGTGCACTACCCACACATTTAGCTGTACCCCAAATGAATATGGGGACTGATTCAGCAGCCAGAGAAGTGCTGTGATTCTTCTTATGGTCCATATGGAGACAGTCCAATACTGATAATAGTCATTGGTTATGAAGCGAGCAATTCCTGAACTGCACAGACATGCGTCTCATTGTTAGCACCAATAACAGGATTTGAGATGGCTCCTTGGAGATACAAAAGCCCAGGACATAAATTCTGCCTTAAAATATTGAAAATAAGAACACATTGGTGTTTTCTAAATGAAATATTTCACTTTGGAAATACCATAACCATTTTTTTCCTCAAATATTTTTAATGAAATTTTCTAAATTAACCAGGATTTTAAAGCAGAAATTTTCAAAATTTATATAACCAAACCCATTCTTTCTCCCTCTCTCACTCCATGTATAGATATAAGACCGTATATAAATATATACTGTGGTATAATAAATATAACTCAAATAGAGAAAAAAAAAAAAAAAGAAGGAACATCTTCATTGGGCTTGCCCTAATGAAACATAATAAGCTATGCTCTAAAGTATACCGCATGTCCATGTAGGTCATGGATTTGCTTCTCTCCTCCCTACCACACACTTTTTTGCAATACAAAATGGAACTCCTCATTAGTTATGGCCCATTCAAACTTCCCTAAAGTTTCTCAGAGTTTTCACTGGTCATAATAACTAAGGCAACTAATAATTTCTCAACACATACTTTTACAGAAGAGGAAAATATATCATGATCTGGAGGTGGCTGATTTTCTTCACTGCAAGTAAAGGGAGACCAGGAAACTAAATTATGTTAGAAACCTAACACTTATCTAGCTACTACACAGTATGCATCCTACTTCTTTTATCTTTTTGAGGCACAATATAGTCCATTCCTATAGCCATTAAGAATGTGAGATTTTGACATATTTTTTATTTGTTTTCATAATTCCTCTTTTTTAGAGACTTCACACACTGTCTTCAAGCCTTCCTCTGCTGCCAAGATAACTAGAGGAAATGTTTCACTTGGTTTTGTATGATAGCTGAGTCTGATAGAGCTACAAGAACTGAGATGTCTGGGATTCAAGAAAATAGGAAAGGAGAAAGAATAGAATAGAATAGAATAGAATAGAATAGAATAGAATAGAATCACAACATATTGCAAAACAAGTAGAAAACAAAGTCATGAAAACACACAGCAAGGCTTAAAATGCCTGCCAGGTACTCTGCTAAAATTGCAATGTCAACAGCGTAGCAAATGCAAAGACTGCAGCAAACACCTTGAATTGGAAGAAAACCACTGCCCACTGAGCACAGAAGCTACAAGAAGGGGGAAAGAGACGAATGAAAAACAAAAATGAAAGTAGGGCAGTACACCATAAGAAAAAAAACCAACTAAGCCAAACTACAAAAAGAAGCAGTGGAGTACAGGATCTGTGTCCATTTCAAGTTATTGATGCTTATCTGGGGCTTCCAAAAGGGTCTATACATCCACATTTCACTGTCAGAGCATGAATTTTTCTCCACTAAATCTGACCCTACTTATCCCCAGAGACAAATCTAAGAGTAAGCATGGCTTCAGGATAGATAGATATAAGGGCGTGTTTAGGGTTTTTCTCTCTCTCCCAAGCAGCCTCTCACCATTCAGAAATACACACAAAACAGAGCTCAGCAAAGATAATTCCCAGATCTTTCAGGATAACACTCAAAACCTCTGCCAACTGATACAACACAACACAAATCCTGCAAGTAAAGTAGGGCCAAGAAAATATTCAGAGCTCTTCCCTAGAGAAGCAGCCAAATAAACCATTGATTCAACAGAGAGAAACACAAACCTGATTTTCAATAACACCACTCTGGATTACCAGAAACGCAGCTGCTCCTTAAAGAAATCTGCATGCAGGTTCATACATTTGTTGGTGATGCTCAGAAGGTTGTTGATACCTTTGGACCCTGTCAGCCACTGTAACCCTGACAATTTTACTTCCAAAAATTACTTATTAACTTTTGCAATGCAGTACAGTGAGAGTGAAAGAAAATAAAAATGGGTGGGGTTGGGGATTTATACAATTTATGGTTGAATATTGCATGATAAGAAAAAGAAGTATAAAGAGCCCTTAGAAAACTTCAGACAGTGGAAGCTTTCTGTAATGCTGTGGAAAATGGACTCCAAGGTACTGGTAGGGCTGGCCAATAAATGACAGTTTATCTAAAAGCAGAATAATTACCAAAAAAATGATTTACTATTATTAATTGGGTAACTATTGCAGTTATTAATTGTAAGAAATGCATTGTTTTACCTTCCTAGTAGATACCTGATGCTTGCCTCAAAGTGCTTGTGCAGAAACAGGTTTAGAAGACTTGAAGTTAAAGCAGGGGGGTGGACTGTCTCCCATCCTGAACTACTTTTAATAGAAAGAAGAATCAGAATGAGGAAGGAAGAGAAGAAAGGGCAGGGGGATAGTATCTTTTTCTAGGTGACAATGTGAGCTTGACATTGGATGTGCTGGAGGAGGTCTCTTCAATGAGAAAAAACGCCCTCCTACTTGCAGTCTGGCATCTATGTCCTCACTTGCTTTGATATTAAAAGATAAAATATGTGCCCTTCCCAAACTGACAGCATCGTCTGTCTGTGTATAAATCAATGTTAAATATTTTGCATTAAACCTCCCCCCTCTGGAAGTTTTGCATTCTTGTGAGGCTATTTCTATAAACCAAAAAAAAAAAAAAAAAAAAATCCCCTCGATGAAAATGTGCATACACAGCAGAGAGGGTGATTTTTAGCAATCGGAAATGCGTGGGGAAGGGAAGTTAGAGCAAACTCATGCTATTGTGTCTGACAAATACTCCATGCAACGACAACCCACCAGAGGGAGCTGCGACCTCAGTGGGGCTGTATGGAGGTTGGTGTGAACCAAAAGGCAAGCTCTATCTCTTCCAGTACTTCTGCTTTTTGTAGATTTGGAAACCAATAAGTGCCTCCCTTTCCTTCTAGAGACCATGGGAAAGCTCTTTGATTATCTCTGACAAATGGCTTATTTTCCCTAGAGATGTGCAGTTCCCTTTATGAACAGTTCACTTTCATCCCCCTGTTGCTACAACTGCACATCCCTGATGACCAAGACAGTAAATATTATTCTCTATAAAGCATGAATTTTTCATAGTGTTTATTGTTTTGTGATCAAATATGCTTTTGGAATTATGTTACCTGACCCAAAGAAGCCCTTAGTAACAGCAATTATGACACCATTAAGTGTCTCACCATTCTTTGTTTTGTTTTGGTTTGGTTTGGTTTTTTTTAACCATGTAATGGTTTGAGCTCAGAGGGCAAATGAGCATCAGACAGGTGCTCACTCCTCCCTTCCCCCCCCAGTAATGAGAAAGGAAAAATAAGCCAGGATTGGGATTTGAGATAGGACAGGGATGGGGAAAAAATCACCCATTATGGTCACGGGCAAAAGGCAGACTCATTAGGGGAACAAAAAAAGAACATACATTTATTACAGACACTGACAACACTTAACAGAGTAGGACAGTGAGAAGCATTGCCACATCTTGAGAACACCTTCCCTCGACCCCTCCCTTCTTCCCGGGCTCAGCTCTGCTCCAGATATCTCTACCTCCTCCCCCAGCAACACAGGGGCAGGGAATGGGGGGTGCAGTCAGTGCTGCCACTTCTTCCATCTTTGGCGTGAGAAGATTCTGGATTTATGGCCCCTCACAGGCCTTAAATCAGTGTCTGCTCCACCACAGACCTTCATGGATGGCGGGGAGGGCCGCCCTGCCATCTCACCACAGGATACAGGGGGTCTCTGCTCCGGCACACTTCCCCCCTCCTTTCTTCCTCCATTCCTCCACTGACCTTGGTGCTCATGCAGCTGCCACAACTTCTCCTCACAAGTCCAACTCCTGCTTCACCACGTCCATTCTTAAATACATTCTTACAAAGGCACAGCTGATTAGCTCAGCTTGGGTGCAGAGGTGGCCCTGACTTGGAGTCAGGGGAGCTTCAAGAAGCTTCTCACAGGGAGGCATGGCTGTAGCCCCCTCCCCTGCTACTAAAAAAACCCCCACCACTCAATCAAACCCAGGACAAACTAAAAAACACATACATGGGTAAATATGCTGACAAGGGAAGTTGGAAAAATTATCTGTACCTGGATATTTGGAAAATACTTGATGATGATATACAGTGAAGTGAAGGTCTGGAGCTTGAACACCTCCAGGTTTCTGGTCCAACAGGATATGGAGCTTATATCTGTAGCCGTTCATCACTGGGTTTCTGCTCTGGTACTTCCAGGTTGTGGTGGGCTATTTGCAAGCAGGATTTTTGCAGGACGAGTGTGGATGAGTATTTGAGTAGCTTCTTGCTCTTCAGATGGAAGACATTCTTTGACTTCTTTTCAGGTCAAGACTTCCGTGTGAAGGACTCCCGTTCATTTTGCATACAAGACAGACTAATCATAGATTCCAGTTTACGTAGAAAAGGGTCAGTCAAGACACAGGGACCTCCTAGAAAGTCTCTGCAGCCTCAGGTAAGCTCACCTCATCCATGATCAAACTAGATATGCACATGCACGGGAAAGACCTTGCCTTTGGGTGATGCGTCAACCAAGAGTTGTAGCACCTGGCCCTCCATCTTCAGTATCCTACACCTTAAACACCTGTGTGCCTGCTGTGACCCCTTCCCACAACTTTTTTTTGGATGTCAGTCCAGTTGTGTTACTCAGAGAAGAGAAGGATCACAAGTTGATGCAGAAAAAGAGGCAGAGACCTACTAACAGAGTCTGTGAAGTAATGAGCTGGTGCATAACAAAAACACAGTGTTGATGTGATGGATAGTCTGGACACACTCCAGACAAACATCATCCATCACTGTTTGTCCAGGGCCTTTCTTCAGTGCTGGCTAAATGTTTCACCACATCCCAGTACCAATATACCTTCCTGGTAACATCCTCATCAGAGACTGAGAATGCAATGTTGTTTGCAGAGAGATATTTCTAAAGGTTTGACAAGATCTCCCAGATGAGTCCTCGTTGTTCCATCTACACACACATGTCATCCATGTGGCATAACATGGCATAACAGCTATAAAACTGAGCATCTCATTGCTGGTTTAGTGCAGGGCAATGGAGATGGAAGTGACACCATGCTGGTCAGGATGGCCGTCCAGATGCTCAGACAAAAAAAAAAAAAAAAAACAAAAACCCAAACAAACAAAAAGTAGATTGTATGGATGCAATTGTGTCCTCAAGCAGCTCCTCATTAACAACTTTCTGCCTCATGCCCCAGTTTAGCTTTGGCCACTATTTGCTATCATACAAACACATCCCCAGGAAGAGGCTGACTATATATGCACACTAGTTATTCCTTCAAGGATTAAACCTTTGTGAGCAGAAGTGTTGGAAAATGGGTAATAAAATTTGAGGATAATCATTAAGGGTTACATAAGAATTTAAGCAATTAGCCAAATGCCTGCAACATGTCCGTTGCACAAAGGTCCTTGAGCTAGGCAAGCTCAATAACCACTTCCTGGAAAATGCATAAATTGAGAGATTCCATATGTAAATTGAGAGGCTCCTACTCAGAAGCTCCTGTCCTTGAAGATCAAGGCCCTCTTAAAAATAATGAACTAGCTGAAGATAGGCATAAAAAGTGCAGACATAAACCAGAGAAAGGCCAATGCCTTAACCACACGAAGAAAAACTCAAAGGTTTGGAGAAAGTTCAAGAAAGGCTCCTCCTAGAGACCACCGGAGACCACTAGAGACCACCAACGACCACCATGGAAGCCCCGCCCCCCCCCCGCCCCGCCCTAAATCTCATGTGTAATAATGATGTAAATATGATAATGAGTTCTAGGAAATTTGATGAATATGTATGTAACAGAGTGATATAAACTTTGATTATTGTAACATACGGTGGACGTGTTAGATGGAATGAGTCCCTCAGGTCCCCGGCCAAATAAAGTAATGCCTGCTTGTTAATGCTAAACCCGGCCTTAAGGAGTATTCATTCCTGATTTCGGTGACAGAAGTGGAGAGGGATTTTGCTCTTACTGCTGGAGATCTAAGCAACAGGAGCCCCAGAGCATCAACCAAAGCAAGATGCTCATGAAAGGATGTGGCTCTGTTGATTTCTCCCAAGATATGCTTCAAGAATTCACCTTGCTTCTATAGAGCTCTTCTGTATGTAACAAAGATTTGCTTTATTTCTTAGTTGGAGGCTTTCCAAGAGCTGTAATGAATAATGACAGCTCTGTTCTGCAACAGAGAGAGCCTGAGGCACCTCACTAGATTGCTGCTGGGAGAATAAGGAGGAATTCACATTCTGTTCACCTTGACAAAGAAAACATTTACTTCTTTGAGCACCTGAAATGACCCTCTGGGCTGCAGTGCTATTCTCAGGAATTTAAGGCAGCAGGAAGATACCTCATGCACATCAAGAAGAAGAAAGGCTATCTCATCCTGAAGAATTATGAGCTTTTGGGTAAGTGTGTGAGTATTTTTTTAAAGGGAACGTAGGTGAGGTAGAGACATACTGTAAATTCAGTAGCAGAACTGAAAATGGGAAAAAGAGTTTCAAACAAAAGAACACACTAAGAGGTGTTAATGCTTCAGAAACTGGAGTTAGCAGTTGAAGAAATTAGAAGTTATGTATTTGAAGTGAGAACTAAATTCATTAATTGAAATTAATAACTTACATTAGAGACCTTTTCTAAAAAAGATGAGCAATTTGTTCAATAGATACCTCCAGTGGAAGAGAAGATAAAATATTAGCACAACCCTATTTACCTGCAGTAATCTATTGCATTATTTTGTACATAAGAAGATGACTGCACCTGAATGTAGAACGATGTCAGTCATCAAAACCTGGCTGAAAATATCAGTCAACAAATGTTACAGCTGAAAAAGCAAGTGCAATTTACAACCCTAAAAAAAAAGACATAACTATTGATATCAAACTTCAACAAGTCGTAAGAGTTGGGCCATTGTTAGCTCTTGGCAAACTTGTACAGTTGCCTTGTCTTGGTCAGCAATTTGCCTCATCAAAATCTAGTCGTTAGCCAACATCACATACCTCCAACAGTGATAACATGTGCCTTTCATCACCCTTACAAACTGATGATTATTGAGAAAATCCTTTCCTACTCTGCCTGAGGGTTACAATGTTTGCAATGACTGATGTCAAACAAAAATATGCGTGCATTAGAACACGATGTTTTAATATGAAGGGTCAAGCATTTTTCACTAACCAAACCCCTTTCTGTGCGCAAAGCCAAGATGTGTAAACAAAATAATGTCTACTTAAAGCTACTTTTGCAATTACACTATAGAACTTAAATCTTTCATGAACTATTTAATGTCTCAAACTGCCAAAGTTGCCGAACAAGTAAAAGTCTTGGCTATAACACAGCATGATGAATTTAAGGTAGCTAATGCCTTCAATGAAATAAATTTACAGCCATTTGTTCCTAATGAAAAGGGGGTTTGGTGGTTTTGAAGGGGTTGTTTTTTTTAAATAGGCCCAGAAGCTGCCATGATTTTTCCACACAATGCTTCAGTTTGATGCAGGTCACTCATAATGGTTGTATCATACACCTTTCTTCTACACACAGCAGAATAATCGTGCAGCTTGAGGCCCTTGATGTTTGACATGACTGTCTCTCTTGCATGAGAACATTGCTGAGCTGCCAAACGGCCCACAAATTAAAGCCAAACAACAGAAGAAAGGTCAAAGCAGACAGATGCAAAATTGTTGAGACAAAGATTACGGAGAACCTGCAAAATTAGAGCTGGTTTGACTCACACATATCCTTACCAGGGCTGTGGCATATCACCTGAGGACCTAATAGTATTACTATCTCATTAGGTCAATGACTCACTTCCAAACATGTTCTTTGAAGGTGTTAAAACTAATTATAAATATTTCTGGATGATTTGGCCCTGTATTACACTAAGCACATTTATCAGGCTTGAGAAACAAAGATAATTTAATTTCCTTTAAAATGCAGTCAGGTATGAATGCAATCTTTGCAAGATTTTTGAAATTATTGGATTTAATTGCCTTCTTTATTATGGGCAAGCAAGGAAAACATGCCCTATATAGACAGCCAATAATCTGCTGTTAGTTTAATTCATGTTTTAACAGTCCAAGAATTGTTGGCATCAATTATTGTCAACAGTTATTGCCCTAGTCATTAATTGGCAAAAAATACAGACCAGCAATTATTTTCTATACTGGTAACAAAAATAGACCAACAATTATTGGTTTAACTGCAATTATATTAACACTTGTAGCCCTAATGGTTTGATTAGTACAGGCAAAATAATAGTTACAAGTGGTCTACATAAACTTCACAAGACATGTACATGTTCAGCATCAACAAATTACACAGCAGACCCACAGCCTCAATGAACTTACAATGTTAACATTGCTCAAAGGCTACACAGTTAGGTGTTTAGTTGAGTTTGTTTGTTTTTTGTTTTTTTTTTTTTTTTTTTAGGGGGTGGGAGGGGGTTATGTATTTCCTATTTGTTTATAGCTTAGCTACACAAATACCACTAGGCAAAAGTTGTGAGCATTAGACAATCACTGTCTCAGCTAAAACAAGATAAAATCTGATCACACCAAGGCAAATCCTGTGCCCTACATTGGTGTAGTAACAAAAACCCTATGGTTTTTACTATCAAGTGCAAGGCACTATCTACTGGAGCTACAAGGCTGTAGTGTGCAAATAACACAGCTGGGTGGACCGTATAGAGACAACAGATGTTCCCAGTCTCTCCGCTGCGGATGTTGAGCTTCTTGCAGAGCCCCCACACTTGGGTGAGCCAGCGAGAGAAGGCAGGCTGAGCCCTGTCTGCCAGAGCGTCCCGCTGACACATGTCTCTGTCAGCTTGTGACCACAGAGCCATAAGCAAAAGACAAAAAGGCAATGTTTCTCATACAATCTGCAGCTCAGAATCTAAGTTTTGTTTTGCAACCAGGATCACTATTGCTATAAACAAATGTATGGTTGCTTAGTTCTAGGGTAGAACAATTGTATTGTTAAGATTTATGACCAACAGAATGGTGATCTGAAACCATGCCGTGAAACGTTCCTATTTTTGTGTCCTTTAGGTGAATTTAGCTCATTATAATATGAAAACCACACCTCTATAGCCTAAGTTACCCACCTCTTCATGAAGCCCCTCACATTTTGAGCATGCATATATTAACAGATAAATACTGTGACTTTAAATGAAAGCGAGGAATAAAACTAGTCAATAAATGATGTTACGATAAAATACTAACCAAGTGATGCATAGAGGCATGTGTTTGTTTGTGTGTTCAGAATCAGATAAATATGAGGTGTGTTTGTAATGTCTAGCACCATTTTCTGTGTAGAACTGTAATAAATACAAATATCTCTACTCTGTGGGTTAATTGGCTCTGTGTACATCAGGTGAAGAACCCTGCTTTTGGGAAAACAAAAGTACTGCTTGTAATCAATTACTGCCTTACTTCCTGACACCAGAGAATGACTCCAGCATTATCAAGACACTGTCCAGAGAAAGAAAGTTGTCCTGAGGCAGGCAGCAATTCCTTCACTCCTTGTCAGGGGGTTGACACATTTGTGTTGAAGTCTTGAGCAATGTCACAACCAGAAGATGACTAGATTAAAAGAAGTCTACCAGCCCTGTTAGCTGTGAAGACCAGGACACCTTTATTGCTCACCTGTTCATGGACAACACATTCTGCCCAGTGACCACCAGGTCAGGAGCTAAGACATAAAGACAAAGATATAAATCTGCAAGGTATTCTCTAAACCCACTACAATTAGGACCATTTCTCCCCCCCACCCCCACCCCCCCTTTTTATTATCAGGATGCCAAGTGCATTAATAGGCCTTAATTTCTCGAGCCTGGAGCATGCACTCATACCACACCTGGAGCCTCCCCACACTCACTCTGGCCAGGGGCTCCATTTAAACTCAGGGTCGGAGCTTCAATCCTTGCATGAGCTCCAATGTGGGTATGGCTGTTCTCACTCTTGTTCCTGACTTGTTGCTTGGTTTTCCTGACTGACCTTGGTGCTGGCTCATTATCTTCTCTTCACCTGATGATTACTGTACTGTTAGTAGGCTCTATTGCTCTCGTTATTCTTCTTTGCTCTACTGGCATTGAGACTGTTCCCTGTGGGTGAAGTCACTGGTTTTCCTGTATGGTGGCTGCCCTCAGCTCCTGTCTTTCCCTCCATCAGACAACAGCTCTGTTCTTATATACTTGTCCTGGTTCGGGCTGGAATAGAGTTCCTGTTGGTTTTAGCAGCTGGAGGAGCTGCAGCCCCCTGAGACCCCAGGGGCTCCCCAGGCCCCAGTGCCCTCACCTGTGTGCGGGGGCGGGGGGAGCACAGCTGGAGGGCTGGGCCCCGATTGGCCGATAGCCCATGTCATGTGACACTGTGCTCACTATATAAAGGCAGGAGAGGTGTGGGAGTGGCTGCCACTTTGGGGAGTGTGGCTGTGGGGCGTGTGTGTTTGGGATCGCCGGCTGGGAGCAGGTGGGTGTTGGTTGGTTGGTTGGTCGGTCGGTCGGTCGGTGGTGAGCAGCTGTATTGTACATTACCCGTTGATACTGCTGTCAGTGTGTTATTCTGTTACTGTTATTAAACTGTTTTTATCGCAACCCCCGAGTCTCCCTTTGCCCCCCCGATTCCCTCCCCCTTCCCAAGTGGGGGGAGGGTGGGTGAACGGCTGTGGGGCATTTCGCTGCTGAGTAGGCTCAAACCACAACAGTACTATAGTCAAATACTTCACTTGTGCTGTGCTCCTAATGGCCGTGTACCCTGTTCAAACACTTGCATTCAAGCTACGTGTGACTCATCCTAGGCTTAGTACAATGTTGCTTTTCCTTCCCTTCCTGCTAATGCTTAATGCTGCAGATTTACATTAATGCTGCAGCATGACTTTGCAGGAACAAATTATGTTACAGGCTCCTGAGAAGACTTCAGGAAAGATCCATGCAGCAGACTCCCCTCCTCCACGTATGGAGAGGGGAAATAAGCCAAGGCAGCATGCTTTCAAAAGCAGAAGGAGATGTAGGAGCAAAGGAAGGCAGAGCTGCTTCACTACTTGTCCAAAGGCCTATTATTTCCAGTAAGTGGGGACAAAGAAGATATATAGGGTTATGTTAAAGGTCAATAGGAATAGAATTGAAGGGTAAACAAGGAACTGCAAAGCCAGTTGAAGTTGAAACAAATAGTAGGTTCAGAATGCAAGCTAAAGGAACAATGGCTACTTTAGAAAGTATGAAATACTAAGGCAGAGCAGAGAGACTAATTGGCACCTCTGACAAATATCTGGTCATGAAGACTCAGTGGCTCCCTTCAGAGACATAGAAGGTGTTGCTGATATTTTGTCCACGGCAGATAAGACTTGCTCACTGTTGTTCTGATATCCATGGGATCTCTCCTCTTGGCTTATGGTCTCTTTCCCTCTTGCAGCC